TTTTTTTTTTTTTTTTGAGACAAAGTCTCACTATGTTGCCCTTAATAGTGTGTCACAGCTCACAGCAACCTACAACTCTTAGGCTTAAGAGAGTCTCTTCCCTCAGCCTCCTGAGTAGCTGGGACTACAGGCACCTGCTCCAATGCCTGGCCGGTTTTTGGTTGCAGTTATCATTGTTGTTTAGCCGGCTTGGGTCGGGCTCAAACCCGCCAGCCCTGGTGTATGTGGCCGGCGCCCTAGTCTCTGAGCTACAGGTGCCAAGCCTTCTTCTTGTGTTTCAATTCAACCAGCCTGTGTGCACCAGCATTTCATCCTAACACTTGTCCCCTCTTGGCTGAAGGATGGCTACCATACCATTTCACACAACTGAGTCACAACCAAGGACAAAAAGGGAGGCTACAGGCTTTCTTCCTCAAGGGACTCAGGAGTCTCTGTTAAATGAGAAACAAAATCCTTCCAATAAACTTCTTCCTTCATAGCATTCACACCTGTGGTCAGGACGGGGCACATGTCTGTTCCCAGGTCAGTTGCTATTACAGGGGAATGAGATGATTTATCACTGGTTTAGCAAAACCATAATCCATCCCCTGGAGCTTGTAATGGGGTGGCATTCACCACTCACTGGAACCTCAGATCTGCACCCACAACCTGAACAGAACCAGAGCTGTGGGCAGGGAAGACACTAGGTATGGTCTTTTGGGTAAATGACAACATGGTCAATGACAGCATGAATCTTTGTGGCCATTTTTTTAAGGGTAACACAAAGTGCACTGAATCTGGACTCTAGCCCCATGGAGGGCCCTGATCCCTCCTGCTACAGACCCATCTTGTGTTCTCAGATGGGCCACTGTCCCTGGGTCTAAGTCTTAGTTCCCTCACCCCACTTGTAAAATGTACTTTCTCCACCTGCCAGCTCCCCTGATGTGTCTGTAAGCAGCAAATAAACTGATGACTAGGCTTGGCGCCTGTGGCTCAAGCGGCTAAGGCACCAACCACATACACCTGAGCTGGTGAGTTCGAATCCAG